GTCATATAATGTTAAGATAGAAAAGGGCTATTTGGAAATCATCGAGACTAATAATCTATACTACAGTACATGGATAGAAGTATGCAGATTAGAGAATTCTCTATCAACCTTATCTCGTAATCTTTGTTCTCTAGCAATAGAAAAAACAAACGTTAAGGATAATAAACTGGCCAAAAAATTCTTTTTTGTTGCAGAAAAATGTAACACCCGCGCTATGTATTTTTTTTTTTCAATAGCTGCAATGCCATTTACCAGACTAACGCGCATAGAAAAACATTTTTTTTTTCAATTTGTGAAAGAATCATTTAATGTAGAAATTAGAAGATGAAATGATTGCATATTTTGATAAACGTCCTTGTAAGTTTAATTAAGGGAAGAGAATGGAACAGCCACTGCTCCAGAGGTGATATGCTTAGCAGTGTTTAGTGACTGATAAACTGATAAACGACAATGGTTTTCTTATGAAGTAAAGTAGATCAAATTCAGTGGATGTAAATATATTGTAAATGATTGTGTCGTTTTTGCGACTTTTTATACCAATTGATCACTAATTGCTTAAAACTTATTTGTAAATATTTCAGAAGAGAAAATGAGGAACCCCTACGTGCTAAGAAGTACAAAGATCAAATCTATTCGAACAAATTAAATTGCATAAATTACTCGAAGAAAGAACAATTATAATATACAGCATATTTTTCCCTTTCACCTGTTATAAATTGTTGAAAAATGACTCCGGTCATTATTCTATGGGGATCATATCGATTTATATCGATATATATATTTAAAGTATACAAGCATTAAAAAGAGAGAAAACCTGGCAAATTTTATCAGAAATTGAATCAAGTTTGTACAAAATTAAAAAAAAAACACTCTTCTTGGATTACCTTACAGGAGTGAAGAGTGTACCTATTAGAGTAATTTATTTATTTGTTCGCTTAATTAGTAGTGTAATAGTTTCCAGTACTTACAATCAGCTTGTATTGTTGTAAGGACTTTAGTTTACTGTAAAAACACGGACCCCTTGTTTATGTAAATAGCATTAAAATCATTATCAGGAAATCATAATTAGCAAAACGTAATTGCTTTTCATACTTCACTGTTAGATAATTATTCTGCTTGGTATAAATTATTAGGAGTTATCAATGTAGACTTTAGTAAGACGTTCAATTAATCTGGAACATACTAAAGAATTCTTTTAAAACAATCATTATACTATTCAATATTTTAAAAGATATAATTGCAGTGTATTTACCGAACCTGAGGTTTTATTCCAAAATAATGACATAAACTCTATACTACTTGACAGGAGAGTGAAGATATAAATTATATTGAATAATACAAGATGTATTCATTTTATCAAATATTCCAATATATTCGAATATTCATAAAAAAGGTTTGCTAATACAGATGGCAATTAGAAACCATGGGAATTTCAATAGATTTTTTGGAGGACCTGGTCTTCAAAAACCACATAGATCCTGTCAACTTTAAATACTTGAGTTTGCAATCAGAGTGTGTTTAACAAAATAATTTTGCAAATCACCGATGTAAGAAAGTTTACGAGTTCCATTTTTAATTAAAAAGCAACTGTCAATGATATGAACAAGAGGCCCATGGGCCACATCGCTCACCTGAGCACTGGCCTGGGAAAAAGTAGAAATTGGATTATTATTGAATAGTTTATATCCAAAAGTAGTCCCATGACCAATCATGGCTTTGCTTTTCTTGATAAGATGATTTTTGAAGAATTTTCCTATATATGTCTACGTTAAACTTTGATTGGCCATTGTGGCCCCGCCCTACCCCCGGGTGTCATGATTGGATCTTGAATCTACACTACCGGAGGATGCTTCCATATAAATATGATCAATTATGGCTTTGTTGTTCTTGAGAAGAAGATATTTGAAGAATTTTTCTATTTATTTCTTTGTAAATTTTAAGTCGGCCATTGTGGCCCCGCCCTACCCCCGGGGGTCATTATTTGAACAAACTTGAATCTACGCCACCTGCGGATGCTTCCATATAAATATGATCAATTATGGCTTTGTTGTTCTTGAGAAGAAGATTTTTAAAGATTTTTCCTATTTATTTCTATGTAAAACTTTGGTCGGCCATTGTGGCCCCGCCATACCCCCGGGGTCTTCATTTAAACAAAATTGAATCTACACTACCTGAGGATGCTTCCATATAATACGATCAATTATGGCTTTGTTATTCATGAAAAAAAAATTAAAGAATTTTCCTTTATATTTCTATGTAAAACTTTTATGGGCCATTGTAACCTTGCCCTACCTCCGGGTGTCATGATTTGAACAAACTTGAATCTACCCTACCTGAGGATGCTTCCATGTAAATATGATCAATTATGGCATTTTTATTCTTGAGAAGAAGATTTTAAAAGAATTTTCCTATATCTTTCTATGTAAAATTTGGTCGGCCATTGTGGCCCCGCCCTATCCCCGGGGATTATGATTTGAACAAACTTGAATCTACACTACCTGAGGATGCTTCCATATACATCTGATCAATAATGGCTTTGTTATTCTTGAGAAGAAGATATTTGAAAGAATTTCCTATATATTTCTATGTAAAATTTGGTCGGCCATTGTGACCCCGCCCTACCCCCCTGGGGTCATGATTTGAACAAACTTGAATATACAATACCTTAAGATGTTTTCCCATAAGTTTCATCTTTCCTGGCCCAGTGGTTCTTGAGTAGAAGATTTTTAAAAGATACCACCAAATTTTCAAAAATTCCCAATTATCTCCCCTTGAATTAGAGCGTGTCCCTTCATTTGATAAAACTTGAATCCCCTTCACCCAAGGATAGTTTGTGGCAAGTTTGGTTGAAATTGGCCCAGCAGTTCTTGAGAAGAAGTTGAAAATGTAAAAGTTTACAACATCGACAACGACGGCGACAATGACGACAACGAAAACAACGACAGATAACGGACAAGTTGTGATCAGAAAAGCTCACTTGAGCTTTTGGCTCAGGTGAGCTAAAAGCCTGACTTTTAATAATCGTGGAGAATGATTATGTATAAAATTTAAAAGTCCGAAGTTTTTAAGTCGTAAATTGTGGTAAAATCTTGTGATTTCAAATTGTCTAAAAGTTCCTTGGAATATTTTAGTATCCAAATCTGATTCACACATTTTCTTGAATATATTGTTGCAAAGCATATATGCCGGGATATATAAACACCATTTGCAGGTGATAGCGGAAAATAACTACATAAATAAGGAAAGTAGACGAGGGAAAAGCTTACGTCATCTCGATTAAAACACAATTTAGTTGTTTATTAGCCTTCGTCGTATTTAGTCAATAGAGTATCCAAAATGAAGCAGATATGACAGACTCTGTGGTGCCTGTTCTTTATTGGTAACGTAATTACTTTCCCTTAGTTTATATATCAGATACAGCGACGATAGTTAAAAACTATTATTAAAACCAAGTTGAATTAAAAGGTTTTAGGAAAACTATTCCTATTATTTTCCTTAACAAAGAAAATTACTTACATGTACACGTTCCTTTCTGCCCAGCTTGGTTATTGTACAACGTAATACTTTAAATAATATATTTATCATACAAAATAATTTTAAGAATGAAGAAAGAAGTGTTCAGTTAAAAAAATAGGGGGTAATATTACTTTTCGTCAGTCTTATTTAAGATATAATACTACTTACACTTTAATAACAATACATTTATGGCAAAGGAAGCTTCCTGATATCAGATGTCAAATACGCAGTACAGTTAAAATGCGCAATGGAAATATCGACTAAATTTTGTTTTTAAAAATGTATTCGTAATCGGGATGGCGATTATTTTTAGTACATTTTTTATATCGAATAATTGTTATTACGATTAATAACTACATAACGAAGACGAATATATTATATATTTAGACTAGTCACGTGATGCGGCAGTCACGCGATTTTAGCACATTGACTTGAAGTATTGATGTTACATATAAATTTCACTAGTGCAATGGCATAACCAAGTTAAATTTCCAAGTTTAGTAATATAAATATTTTCAACACGCATTGTAGTTTCTAAAAAGTGCTGCGATCATGTCTAAATTTTGCAATTTCATTGCTAAAATTATATTTGTATGACCGAATGCTATATTTTTTGCTGGTCATATATTAATATATGAAATATTGATATAATTAAATTGTTTTAAGATTTCATCAGGATTGCAGCACTTTTCAGATACCTTAATAGTTCTATAGTTGAAATTTAAAAGCTATCTTTGATCCATAGAGTGTATGCCCTTGCACTAGATCGATTTATTAAGACCCCCCACATTACCTTCCGATGTACTTGCATACAAATATACAGCAGTGTCAATTAAATACGTAATGTACAGAAAATATTTTAACAAAATAGTGAAGAAGACATTAAGAGTCATTCTCTGTAAGGACCACGGATGCCCTTCAAACGAATATCACAGATTTTAATAAAATATATATGAAAAAATTATGAATGTGTATGAGATTTATTAGGTATATTTAAAATTTTGGGATGTGACCTATCCTCCAGGTTATGGCCCCCTAACACATTTTGTGGCTACCGCCATGTTTGAAAATGTCAGTTTTCTCCTAATTTGACAAAAAAAAATCAAAATAAATAATGCACTATGGTTGGATTAAGTGCATTAAATTGTGAAAACAAGGTGTGAAGTAAAGTTAAAAAATTATTTTGCTTTATCATTAACACCCCTTTTTATTTTGAAGAAATTTAATTTCCTCCCATTTTTAACCCTTAACCAATATGATAAATAACCATAATTTCAGTGCCATTTTATGAAAAATTCCAAGATAGGATTATAAAATATTAACAATATTTTGAAAGCAAACATACTTAATTATTTATTTATAATTATTCTGGGTGTGTGTTTTTTGATTTAAAAAAAATAAAACGTAATTGAAAATTGAAAAAAACTAGCATTTCACAAAAATATTATCTCCCTTTGTAGAACTCTCTAGTTCCGACAGTGAGAGGAGGTAAAAACAAAAGTATTTGTAAGCATGAAGTTTTGCTGGTTTGGAGTTCCTTTTCACAAGCCATGTGTTTTAATGATTTTTTTTATAAAAAAAATGCTTAGATTATACAGTATAGCTTCCTTGGCAGATGTGATATTGTTTGTTCTGAAGACATTCAACAACTCGCGAGTTTCAGCAATGGCCATATTGTCTAAAGTAGGTCGTATGCCACACATGTGTTACACTTGCTAAATTATTTAGTAAATACAGTGAATGACTATCGAATGTGGACGTTATTTTAACTTTTCTTCAAAATAAAATACAAAGAGGTGAAGAAGGAAGTTTTGTCAAATTCCAAATCTTCTAAGTTCACACGTGCATATTGAAAACACCAGAGGAGATGGACCAAGAATTCCCCTCCAAACAGAACATGTGAAAATTTGAAAGCAGGTCATTTGATTGGTAAAGCTGGTGCAACGCTACCAGTGTGATAGGCCTACACCATACATGTACACGTACAATGTAAGTATCTACAATTTCTGATACACAATATAATATTTGTTCTTAGAGTTATGAGTAGATGAAATTATTAAAAAAGAATTTAATCGAAATGAATGTAAAAAGGTACAGTCCAAAGACTATACTAAAGCATTTCTATCTACATATGTAGGTCTTAATAGCTATGTGGGTAGAATAAGAAATAATCTTTGGACTTGACCTTGTAGATTTCATTTTCCTTGTTCATCTTGAACACTCTATAATGATGTATGCATTTAAAGTTTAACAAGATATTAATTAAAAAGTTTGTCCAATTTGAATTATTGTAAACAGTTATTTATTTTAGACCTGTCAACATACAAAACTAAATAAAAAGTACCGTTAAATATGTGGTGAATGGCAAAAAAAATTAACAACTCATTCTTATATAATTGTGCTTTAATTAGTACCTGTAAGGAATTGAACTATTTTTATGAAAAATATACAATTTATTGTAGCATGCTGCTGTGTGACCAAGTGAGGGGCATCACAATGAAGGGGAGGATATTTAGATCATTCATGGAGCCTTCAACATTGTATTAAAACCAAATTATAAAGAGGTATAGTGTCCATGTACTATAATTTTGACCCAATGGCCTTGACTTCTATATCTTTCAAGAAATTAGACATTGGTAATAAATTTTGAAGGATAGAGGATACACCTTTCATGTTCCATATATACAGTAACTACTATTATTGACCCACTTTTCAAGGCATGTAACGTTCTGTGATGTTCCAATTTCTACCCATCTGAAATCATCCTAATTATTCTATACAAATATTTTTCACTTCAGATTCCATTTTTGTGCAACTTTGAATAATTTAAAAAAAAAACTACATGTTGAAACTTATTCATTTTATTCATTAAAACATAACCCAAGTTGTTATTTTCAAAAATTTTGACAAGAGTTTGTACCACTTTCCTAAAGAAACCTCTCTACACTTAAAAGGGCAAGATAGTTTAAATTCCAAATTATAAACATGTTGTTTACATGTATCTTTTCCATAGAAGTAAATAGCAATTATTTCTACTGATACTGTGTTGTTTTGAACATTTTTTCCTGGGGTTAAATGCCATGTATCATGTATTGAAAATGAAATTATTTACATCTTTATTCAATATAATTTTCGCAAAGTCCAAAAATCATTTTACACTGGTGTAGAGAGGATGTATGACCTGTTACATGTACAAGTGTAACTGTTTTCATGATCCAATTGGTTCCTTTAATCATTTTTTGCTCTACTGGTCAAAGACCAGAGGAGCTTATATTCATATGTGATAGTAATGTGTCCGTCGTCTGTTTGTCTGTCTGTATGTTTGTCCATCTGTAAATAGTTTTTCAAAATGCTACTCCTCCTACAGTTTTGGTCTGATTTCAATATGACTTGGCACACAAGTAAACTACACTAAGATAAATAATTCTGTGTATCGGTTTTTGTCATTATTCTATTGATTGCTTTTGTGAATGTCCCAACCGCTAGTTTTCTCTTTCTTTATTATAAGTACAAACCAGTAGAGCTACAGTCTTGACAGAGATTTCTGGTTAACTTAAGTCTTGTATTATCTACCCGGTAATCTAAATACTTGTATTGTCTATTACAGAACTCAAGAAGCCAGAGTTTTACATTTAGTCATGACCAGTCATAACATTCAGCAAATGAATGAGTATCTGATGAAAATTAGTGAGAGTTTTCAGAGAATGGGACATACCGTCTGGACACCTTCACTAAGCCTGCTAAATTATACTACAACAATATAATGACAAACATTGCTGTTATTCTCCCAAAGAACATCAAAGAAATAGTGAAGTCTTACAGTATCTGAAGAAAATCCTAGTCTTGCCTAGTATTATACCTGAGGGAAGTTTTGACCACTTATCCTGAAGTTATTCATGCATAATAACATGGGTCCACTATGCACTACTATGGATATGCTTCAAATAATAAAAAAAAAAAAAGATTTTAATAATGTACATTCTTAAATAAAAGGTAAAAAGTGTATAAACAGTAGTCTTATTGCATGTAAAATGATAATTCCATCCTTTGTTACAATTATTGAATTTTTATAAAATTGACAAAAAAATTAAAGAAATCTATGTCAAAAGTGTCTATTATTATTATTTTCAAGGCTTAAGGATAACGTTTACTTGGATGACAAAAATATTGACTGATATAAAAGTGAAAAACCACCTATTGTACATCTATGTAATTATTCACTTAAGTATGTCATTGCCCTACTATTCCTGCTAGTGGCTCTTGAGTATTTCATAGAAAATATATAAATTATTTTTCACAATATGACCAACATTTGCCCCCCTCCCCCAATATTTTGCCAATATATAGAATTCTATAAAAAACATAACTACTCTATGCTTGTGCCCCCTCAGAAAATACGTCTAATGATCTTTTGTCCTTATTTTGCTTTCTAGAAATTTTTGGTAGTTTTCACTGAGAATGTATGGTTGTGCCCCCTCCCCCCCCCCCCCACAACCCCCTTCTTCCGACTGAAATTGCCTCTTACGGGCCTGCAATCAAGTTGAAAATCTGAATGACAGGAACTCTTATTACTTACATGTATGGCCTCATTTTACTTTTGTTGTCATTATTCTGCTGGTATTGTAATTTTATGAGCTCAATAATCAAATTATTTAGATATGTTGCTGTGAATGGTTTGTGTTCATGTATACATACATATTTTTGAAATTCTTCATTGTGTATCAATCAATTACAAGTATATGACATAATGTTTGAGCTTTAATATAAATTGATAATTGAAAAAGTTATTTAAAAAAAAAATAATTAGCCCGCACTTTCTCTGCACACCATAATCTTTTATATTTTCTTTAAAAGAATAATTATAAATAATAATCTTTTAATTTTCAGATTTATTTTCAGTAATCAATTGCTTATTTAGTCCATTTAAACCATTTTGGATTAAACATGTTGTACTTTATAGCATTCTGTTTCTGTAATCAGAAATCCTGACTTAAGGTCATCCAGTCAATTCCTGAAAATGTGGAGAAGCAATTATACTACATGTATATATTCTTCAGTTAACTTTGAACTCTTGACCTTAGCCTTACGTTGTGATAGAGTTAATAAATTAACTTTTCATCGACTCTTTTTTTTCAGCTAAATTTGTAACAAATACGTTTAATAGCTGAAGAAGATAAAATTTGAGTCATAGAACAGGTGTAATTAATCCCCCGCCTTTTCCTCATTAAAAAAAGGGGGGGGGGTTAAAATGAAATAACTGTGTATTACTTTTATATCTTCACTATACCTATATTTCATTTAAGGAATTGATTAGTAGCATGATTAACATACACTTCAGTATTGTTAAAATTTAGCCACAGACGTGATTTTGAACCGATAAAAACATGAAATGAAAAAAAAATCCCATGAGCCCTGTTAACCACTGCTATGTTGCTATCCTCCCCTAAAATGATACATTTTCATTCATTTTTATCATTTAATACTCTGTTAAGGTTGTTTTACATAAACAATGTTCTCAAAAGAGAAAAACAAACTCTACAAAATATACCATATACAATGTATAACGCAGTTTTCCAATCCATATCTGAGGAAATTCGGGATTATGGGTTATTTTCATTTTGATATTTCCCGAGTTATCTGAAAAACACATGTTGGGAATCTATATGAAATTAAAGACTATAGTATAGATATTTGGAATAAACAAGAAGTTTAAAAAACCTATCTTGGAATTTAAAGATAAATGTAATTGAAATAGAGGGTAAAATGGGTTTTTCTGCATTTTGAAAAAATCATGAAATTTGGTATTTTTAGCCTTCTATCAGCTTGAAACGCCTCAGGCAAAAGAATTTATTTTTAATTATTTTAATTATATAAGAATGCATAAAATAAATTATATAATTGAAAGTGGTAATATTTTTCGTGTTTAAAGGAAATATGGGGGTTAAAAATGCTATATTTCATGAAATAGAACCTGTCAAAATGGCCATATTTGTGTTAGTTACGGTTGCCATGGCAACGGACACCCCGAAACATGAACTAAGGTGGTTTTCTCAGTTAGACACCTGAGTTCACTCTAAATACAAAAAATCACGTATTTCGTAGACATTCGTTTTTACGGCCTCCTTGGATTCTTTGGTTTTTACAGAGAATGACTCTTAAATTCAAGTTATTGGCCAATAGAATATCTGTAAATAATATTTTATTTAATTAGAGAATACAGATTTTCTTGAGAAAATATTACTTCGCAGGGGGGATAAGGAAGCATACAAAATATTTTACCTTGACTAAATCAGAGCTACATCATAACGTCATAGTAGGTGAGATGACGTCAATTTTAGAACGCAAGTTTTCGTAATATTGGTATTAAGAAATGTAATTTAACTCCAGAAAATAAATAGAAACGGGTAAACATTAACAAGAATAAAATGTTCGTATTTTGTTTTGCTGTATTCTGTCATTTTAAATGAAATCTACCACCGATGACGTCATATGTGTACATCAAGAAGCTTGGAAATTGATCATGTCGTGTAAAGAGAATTTGGCGAAGACGGCATGTACAAAAATACGAAAAATGGAGTTTAAAAGCAACTATCGTGAATATTTTGTGAAATTCATATGGAGTTCAGTTAATGAAACAGGTATGCTAATTTATTTTCATCGATTGTATTCTCTTCCGAAGACAGTCAACTAGATAGGTATCCCGGTCGGCCTTTCCTCTGTCATTTGTGACAAAAATAATGCAACAGAACAACAATATGCTGTTTATTTCGAAACATAACGTTTGTACAGATCGAAAGTTTGCCTCCTATAATACTTGGAAAGTGCTGCTAGAATCGCGAATAAAGCATGGCTATACGAAAAATGTCGTTTCATATATATAAAATTCAAAACATGGGGTAAGGTTTTGTGCGAATGTTCGGAATAATTATTTTACTGACGGGACAGTAGGATTCTAGCAGCACTTTTTAGGCAAAATAGATGTTTTTCAACTACATTATTTACTCAAAGAAATTCTTAACGCCGGGGTATTGTTGTTCTGTTAACTTATTTATTAAGGAAAATTTCGCTATTAATAGAAGTCACGTGATGCCATGGTGGTGGTGCACGTTGTTGTGTTAGACACACTTTTATCTTTATGCAATATAGATAATTATAGTTTACATTTATCAGCGGTATTGGTAAATCATCAATCTTAATTTTCTTTAAAAAGTCTAAATTTCCCAAAAAATGACTTATATGCTTCCTTAACATATCCACGTTGATCTGTCTCTCACTGCGTACAAACTACGTCACGTTGTAAGAAATGACGTCATATTATCAATTGTATTGCGATCAGTGACTTGTTTATAACTTGTTATGTAGGATTTAACTAACGACAAAACAACACGCTGTTGTAAGTTTTTTTATGTAGTTTGATGATTTTTTACAGCTTAAATTAGCAGATAAACTCATTTTGAGGTATTTTAAAGAAATGCTGTATGACGTATATTGTGTATGATGTCATAGTCAAGTTTTCCCGTACAATTTACGCTCCGCCTCCTTATTTTTACCTTAACTGTGCTGCATAAAAAAAAGGATCCTTTGAAAAAAGGAAAAATATAAAACTTACAATCAATTCTTAATCAAGTTAAACTGCGAATAACCTTTTTTTTATTTGCAAAATATTCTTACATCTTATAGCTCATACAAAAGAAATTGAAAGAATGTAGGGTTTCTTTTACAGATACATTTGAAGGTTCCTTTTCCGATCCCATGTCTTCTGTTTCAAAATATTCTGTAAAAACTGAAACCTGTGACATTTTGATAACAATATTTTTTTTTTCACTGGTAATCTTACTGGACATAACATTTATACCAAACCTTCGGGAAATCTGAACTGCAAATATTCTAATTTTTTCTACGGAATAGAATCTAATCTGTGTGGATTTGTTTATAATGGTGAAACCAAAGGATTACTTAATAAAAGAGTATCAGGTTATGGATTTCAAATAAATCAAGGGGGTCAGCAGTTTTTATACAAACATCTAATTTACCCGATCATTCTATTTTATCAATGTAAGTTAGAATTCTCGAAAGATTTATCACCACACAAACAGTCCATCACTTAGTACACCTTTCCATAGACAACGAGAAGAATTTTGGATTAAAAAACTAGTGATAGAATTTTGTTATGGATGCAATGACAATGTCGATATAGCGTTTGAAATCTTTCCAGTTTACTGTTTACAGATATATGTAAATGAGATGGGATTTTTAAGCATACACAGAGACGTAAGCATAGTCATAGGCATCAGTCGTACAATAAACCTTTACTACACGAATTCTCTTTTCATTCATTACTGCCTTCTGTAAACCAATAGTTAGGTCTACATCATATTCGCACCAAACTTGAATCTGTTCCTTTGAAACTTTTAAATAATCTTCTTAAAAAGATCAAGGAAACAACTTCTTGATTCCTCGACACTAGAATTTAGGATCGGATCTGTGATAATGAATATTGCATAGCATGGGTTTTTTAAAACCCCACGTTTAACTGAAGAAAATGCAGCTAATACGATCCGTCTTTTTAGGTCACCTGAGTGACTCAGGTGACCTATTGCTATCCGTTTTCGTCCGTCGTTGTCCGTCGTGTGTTAACATTTGAACATTTTCAGCTTCTTCTCTAAAACCACTGAACGTATTTCAACCAAATCTGGTTTACAACATCTATGGGTAAAGGTAAACAACAATTGTGATTTTGATGGTCCCCGCCCCCCTGGGGCCTGAGGGGTGGGTCCAAAAGCACTAAAATTAATGAAATGTTTAAAAATCTTCTTCTTTACTCCTGGACATCAAGCAGGCAAACTGTTGGATTGAATGTAATAAGCATTGAGTCCTCTATTAAAATTGTGAAATTCATGACCCCAGGATCAGGGGTTCAAGTGCTAGGGTGGGGCTCTATTGATTGTACAGTGAAAATGGATTTAATCTTTGAAAAACTTCTTCTCTGCTCCTGGGTATTAAATAACTAACTTAAATCATATTTATGATGAGCAGCCTCTTCCAAAATTGTGAATTTTATGACCCCAGGGTCAGGGGCTCTGGTGCTAGGGCGGGGCTCTACTAATTACATAATGAAAATGCATTAAATCTTTGAATATCTTCTTCTCTGTTCCAGGATATACTAACTAACTAAGTTAATATACTAACTAAGTGCATAGTAACGATGAGCAGGAGTGCCTCTTCCAAAATTATGAATTTTATGGCCCCAGGGTCAGGGGTTCGAGTGATAGGGCGATTATAAAGTGGAAGTGCATTTTCTCTTTGTTATTCTGGACTACCTCTGGGTATTAAGTAAAAAGAGTAAGCATGCTTAGTTTATAATTATAATAAGCAATGGTGCCTCTTTCCAGAATTTCATGGCCTCTGGTTTAAAACACAAACCTAATTCAATTGTTGGAAAGTTGTTACATGATACTCAGGTGA